TTTGGGTTGTAATCAATTTGATTGAAATTGTCATATAAAATTTCATTAAGTGACATGCTTACCAGGTTGTGGTGACTTTAAATATGTAGAGTTTATAAACAAGCGGCGACCATATATACTATGTAAGGAGATAATCCTCCGGTGGCTAAAAACCACGCTGGTGAGGTTGCTTTAGTATACTTGTGTGATAATCCTCCGGAGTACATACGAGTATGAGTTCTGGCAGTAGTACTCATGAAAAACGCCAATTGCACTTACATTGCGGTAGTTATAAGGAGACGATTCCGCTGGTTTGTGAGATTGAAGGAAGCTTAAGAAAAGAATGGATTGAATTTCCTGATGCCCCATTTTCTATGAGAAATTTAAAGCATATTGGGCATGCGAAAAACCTGAGCAGGTAATGGACTGTGGCTGTCTGTAGCTTGGCCCCGGCGAGCACTAATTAACGAGAACGGCGTCGAGGCTTTGTTGTTCTGTTTAGAAGCAGAGTTCCCGGAATTCTCCGTTGCCGATTTCACAGTGTTTCCGACTGAACCTCACCGGTTTCCGCTTCCCACATTATTGTGTCTTCCCGGTCATCAAGAACAACCAAATATAGATGGTAAAATTGAATTTATATAATTGTTTCCGTCCGTTTGTTATATAAAAAGGCGAGTTCCAGATAAACCCAAACCTCTGCTTTTACAAAAATTGTATAGTATTATGGAGAGGTCAAGATGCGAAAGAGAGAAGAGAGACGGTGACAGAGGTCCCCCGGAGAGAGCGGGACGAGAGACCACTTTCCCGTTCCGGCAGAGAAGACAGAATTTCCTGGTTCTGAAGAGACTTTCTGAAAGAAAGCAGGGAATCCCTTTCTGGGTTTCGCCCGGAAGAGAGGTGAAGGAAGAAGCAGAGAGCGGCGGCAATGGTGGCCGGAAACAGGCGAATCGCCATGGCAGGAGGGAGCAGGGTTTGTTGTTGTAATGGTAAACTGGTAGATAATGAAGAGAACTCTGTGAATGTCCATTTCGCATCATCACATCAGTAACTCTTATAGCAGTGGCAGGGGGAGAGAGAAGAGAGAAGGCGAGTTACAAAAAAGAAGAGAATAGGTTTGGAAATGGATAGCTGGCTTATTATCTCTCTACAATTCGGTGTTGGAAAAGGTAGATGCTAATCTTCACAAAAAGGTTAAGGAATCTTAAGAAAGAATGGATGGAATTTCCGATTTATGCCAGCCACATTTTATATCAGAAAAGTTAAAGCATATTGGGCATTAGGTCAGCAACTCAGCATGTGTAGTAAATCCCAATAGCTACTACTTGTACGGATCATAAATACTTCGTATATAGAGTCCCAAATGGTAGGTACTTTTACTCTTTTTGCGTAATACTTTAAAAATTGTATAGTATTATGCAGTAATCTCTATGTTAAGCTGTTTAATTACGTATGTAGTCCACATGCATAAGTTCATATTTTATGTTAAGAATTGTGCATGCTAGGTGATAATTATAAAATACAAAGACTAAGAGGCCGTTTGGAACCACTGATTTTCGGCTTATAGGCTTATCAGCCAACTTTTTCACCAAACACGTAATTTTTGCTTATGCGCGCTGAATTGTGTAATAAGCAGAAAAAGTAAGGCTGAAGTTACTTTTCTGGCTGTTTTGGTTGAAGTTACTGTAGATGATCATTTTAGCTATTTTTACACATAATTTTTCCTTTATTTTATTAATAAAATATATTTTAAAAATATTTTTTTCTTAAATCAGCAGAATCAGCCAATGCAGCCACTTCAGCCAGATCTTCATAAATTTCAGCAGAATCAGCCAAATCAACCGATTTTCGTGCTACCAAACAGGCTCTAACTATATCAATTCATATCAGACTAGACAAATCGGACCATGGTACAACTGATAGTTCGATACAGACGCAGAAACATAAACAGAGATACGAGAAAACAAAAAAATTAGATACGAATATGGGGATGCATTTCATTTGTAAATATTAAAAGTTATGGAAATGCATCTATAAATATTAAAAATATGGGAGTGCATTTGTAAGTATTATATATATTATACACACACATATTATCTCCTTCCCAATCATGGCATTGAAGGCATTTAACATTATCAAGATTGCGAGATATAAATTCAAAATTTATCTCATATGAACTATTGCATCTCGAAATATAAGTATGTTAATAAAATAATGGAAAAATTCACATGAATAATCCCAACTATCACCGTTCTTCCAATAATAATCCCAAATATCTATAATTCTAGAATAATCCGAAATTTATATGCCTTTTTCTCAAATTGATCCCGGGTGACCGGTAACTTAGTGAACCCGTAAAAAGGAACATAGAAAAGAAATTAAAAAAAAAAGGTTAAAAGCCTCCTTTCTAGCCGGCGGCCGATGAATCCTGCGGAACTTCAAGGATGGTAACCGGAGTGCTTCTCGGGCCAATTTTGACGGTACCTTCCTCTACCCACGATCCCAGTCTTCTTCTTATCTTATGCTTCCTTTTCCGCCAGAGGAGTGCTCTGGAGTTTAGGATCGGGACTGTTCATCATCTGTGATCGGTGGCTGTATTGGTGTTCTACGGTGTCAACAACGCCCCTTTTCCTCCAATCTCTCTTCTTGCTTGGAGTGACGCCAAATACCAACAAAAGGGATGGGCGACTACTGAAATCGGTTCAGATGGGGATGACCGTCTTCTTCATTTTCTCGCTGGAAAGAATTACCTTTGGATGCCCAAGGAAGAAGAAGACAAAGAGGGAAGTAAAAAACTTAGTCAAAATTCCCATTCCGGCCATATCTATTTTCCCTAGTTTGAGACTCTTGATTCCCATCAGGAATTCATTGTGTTCCATCTGAAATCTTCGGATACAGAATAAGCAGACACAGAGAAAGAGACGTAGAAGGAAAAGGGAAGGAAGGAGAAAAAAAAGAAAGAAAAGAAAAAGAAAACAAAAAAGCTAAAAGCCAATAAAAGAATGCCACATGTCCAGGTGACCTGTTGAATTGGTTTATGCAGGTCACCGGTTTGTTTTGGGAAGACAACCCTAATAGTTTAGATTATATTCGAATTACTGAAATATGGGATTAATATTGGAAGATCGCTAATAGTTGGGATTATTTATGTAAATTTTTCCTAAAATAATCACAATTTTGAAATTCAAAGTGTGAGTACTTTACTCAAAATTCACGGACAAAACATTCTCAATAAAGATAAATATTAATACAGTAAAACACTAAAAACAAAAAAAAAAAGTAAAAGGTCTAATAAATATTTTAAGACTCTTACTCCCTCCGTTCTTTTTTATTAGTCCTTCTTTCCTTTTTGGGACGTTTTTTTGTTTGTTTGTCTCCTTTCCCTTTAAGGAAGGTTTTTGAAAAAATACCCTCATTTTTATTACTTTTACCCACTTACTTTTTCCAAACTACTTTCTCTTTCCTACTTTACCATCACTTTACTCTTCTTAATACACTCTTTTTCCTACTTTATCATCATTTTACTCTTTTTAATATACCGTCTTTCCAACGTTATTATTTACCCTACACACTCTATACTTACCCTACTACTTTATTATTAAATCTCGTGCCAAACCCTAAGGGGAATAATATTAAAGAACGGAGGTAGTATAATTTAGTTTTTTAAGTATTCTTTCATAAAAAGTTGATACGTACGTACATCCTTTAAGATATGGGTCTCTGAATTTTTATAATAATTATAAAAGTGGGAAACTTTTAAGAAATTGCATATACAGCCCAGAAACGTGGATTACAAGTATCCTAGATTATCTAATATGGAGACACTTTTGATACACCGATACAGTGCCGTAATCAAATATGCGTACTACGGTACATAGGAGGTGACTTAAAAACATTAAATCAGTTCAAACGAAACGAGAACACACTAAAAAAATACTCGTATAATCCAATTAAAAAATAATACTATCTTCGTTCTCTTTTAGTTGCAACATTGGACTTTTTGCATTATTCACATATTCTACTTTGACTACATTTTATTTATTAATGTATTATAAAATAAATTCTTAAAAAATATTGTTAAATTCTTCTCATTCTAAATTTTCAAAATATGAATTTTTTTAAATTTTTTACTAATAAGAAATGAAAGATGTTGATGATCAAACTTGTGCGTTGGCAAACGTGAAATGTTGACTGTTGCAATTAAAAGAGAACGGAGGAAGTAACAAGTTAAGATTTGCCAACTACTGTTTCCTCTCTTCGGTCTCTCTCTTCCGCGCAATAAAAACTGTTTTACTTTGTGATTTTTGTTTTTTTGAGTTTGAAAGTTTTTCGTGTTTGTACATAATTGAACCGACACTGTCCATTAATAAATTTAAGTATATCATAATTTGTGAATAACATTCCTTTATAATTGCCTTTTGGGTGCTTATTGTAGATTCCAATTTTCTTTGCATCTGTAATACGTTGATTCGTTAATTCCAAATCCTACCCTTACTCATTTATTAATTTGTTAATTTGTGAATAACATTCCTTTATAATTTCTTTTTGCATCCTTATTGTAGATTCCAATTTTCTTTGCATCTGTAATTTTTCTTCCATTATTTTTCTTTGTTTGTCATAGTGTTTATTTATTTGTTTATCCTTTAATTCTAATCTTTTTTCCAAGTCATCTATTATTATTATTCTTTGTTCTTGTATTATAGCTAAACTATTTCGACAACTGATAATATGTTGGTTTATATCCTTGTTATATATTAATGATTTTTCTGCTATAAATTGTATTTTTCTTATATGTTCGTCCATAATATTAAAATCCTTTTGTGGCTCTGATACCAACTCGTCCATCGATTGCGTGTAGGATTGCTGCAGCTCCCATACACACACCCACTCCATGGCATGAAGCTCCATCCTCCATCAATTAAAAGGTATGGGAAGGCATGGGAAGGCATGGGAAGGCATGGGATGCTATATGGGCTGCATGCAATTGTCTCCCAGCATTTCCCTATAAATAGGGTGGTTCTAGCTTGATCAAATGTATCAAAAATCGGAGAGAAAAGTAGTGAGAGTGATACACATAGAGTGAGTGTATAAAAGGGTTGGTTTTTTGTAATAGTTGAGTGAGAGAGTTGCTCCTCCTATTGTAATTCTGTTCTGGTTATGAATAGAAGAATTTTCCAATCCTAACAAGTGGTATCAGAGCCAGGTTAATCCAGAAACCCAGATTTCTTCATTCTGCCCGAATTTTTGGTCAAAATTTTTTTGTTCCAGAATCTTGTTTTGAGGCCACCATTAGCAAGCTCTCGTTCTGAGGATTCCAAAAATATATTTTTCGGAATTTTTTGACCACCGGAAGGCCTCCAAACGTCCGGTCAAAGTTTCTCTCTCCTGCCAGTCATAGCCGCTGCAGTACTCCAGTCCGGCAGCAACCTCGCCGGAGAAGAAGACCAGTTAGCACGCCACGTCATCGCCACGTCATCGCCACGTCATCGCCCAGTCATCGCCACGTCACCGACAGCCGACCTGTTGGACCACCTGCTGTGCCACGTCATCTGACACGTCATATGCCACGTCATCAACACGTCACTGCCCAGGTGGTGCCACGTCATCAGCCTGGTTGGCTGCCCACTGGTTTGGGCCAGAACCGGTCCGGTTCGGCTTGTGGTTCAATACTCCGGTTCACGCTCTTCCCGACCGGTTCTTGAAGAGGTGAGACCGGTTCCCACCATTTTCGGCCATTCCGGATTCAACGGTGTGCTCCGTTTGGCCTAATTCAGCTTCCAAATTGAGGTACGGGAATAAGTGTACATATTTATCATGGAAAAGTCATCTTCGGATACAATGATTGCGCTCACTTCCACAAATTACAACATGTGGAAACCACGGATGGAGGATTTGTTAAATTTGAAAGATTTAGCAGATCCTCTTGATAATAATGGCGTCAAACCAGATAAAAAGACGGATGAAGAATGGGCTAAGATGAACAGAAAAACTGTCGCACAAATCCGACAATGGATTGATCATAGCGTGTTCCATCATGTTTCTCAAGAGCAAAGTGCTCACACACTATGGGAGAAACTTAGTAGCATGTACCAAGCAAAAACTGCTCGGAATAAAACGCTGCTGATGAGACGATTAGTGAACCACAAGTTACGTGGTGGCATTTCTGTGTCGGAACACACGAGCCAGTTCCAGGATCTTGTGAATCAATTGAGCACCACCGGATGGGTCCTCAAAGATGAAGAACAAGCAATACTTTTGCTTAGCTCTCTACCTGATAATTGGGAGACTCTTGTTATTACTCTCAGTAATTCTGCCCCAAATGGTACCGTGACTATGCAGATGGTCACGGACGCCTTGATGAATGAGGAAGCACGAAGGAAGGAAGCTGAGACTGATCAGTCTTATGCTCTCGTCTCAGAAACCAGCAGGCGAGGCGGAGGCAGAAATGGAGGTAGAGGACGAGGTCGAGGCAGAGGCAGAGCTCGAGGTCAAAGTAGAGGGAGATCTCAAGTTCGAGGAAGATCACAAGAGCGGGGGAAGTCCGTCGATACCAATACGAGGGCTATTGCAACCATTGTGGTCATTATGGGCACAGAAAGAGGGAATGCCGAAAGTTTCTACGGGAGCAGCCTCAGACGAGTCAAAGTTCAAACAAGGAAGATGGTGAGACCATGGTCACCATGGCACCGGACATTGCACTTGTTACTTGCGGAGAAGAAGCATGCCTACACGTAGGTACGCATGATATTGAGTGGGTGATTGATACCGCTGCATCATTTCACGCCACTCCGCACCAAAGTCTATTTGCAACTTATAATTCCGGAGACCATGGTGCTGTGAAGATGGGAAACACGAGTTTCTCAAACATTGTTGGCATTGGAGATGTGCACATTCAAACAAGTGTTGGCTGCACACTTGTGTTGAAAGATGTTCGGCATGTTCCAGATCTGAGATTGAATCTTATCTCAGGAGTTGCTCTAGATCGGCAGGGGTATGAAAGCCAGTTCAAAGAAGGTGCGTGGAAATTATCTAAAGGCTCTATGATTATTGCAAGAGGTCATATCTGTGGTACTCTTTACAAAACCCATGTAAAGTTGTATCCTCCAAGTCTCAATGCTGTTCAAGGAGAGACATCACCAAATCTGTGGCACCGGAGGTTAGGCCACATGAGTGTGAAAGGACTGACAACTCTTGCAAAGAAGGAAGCAATCTTTATTGATAAAGATGTCGCTCTGGATCCCTGCGATCACTGTCTATTTGGGAAACAACATCGAGTTTCTTTCAGTTCCACTAGAAAGAATCATTCTGAAATACTCGATCTTATCCACACTGATGTATGTGGACCCATTGAAGAGGAGTCACTTGGAGGCAGCAGATATTTTGTGACATTCATTGATGATGCGTCACGAAAGGTATGGGCTTATTGTCTCAAATCTAAGGATCAAGTATTTGATCGCTTTAAAATATTTCATACTATGGTAGAAAGAGAGACAGGAAAGAAGCTGAAGTGCCTTCGTTCTGACAACGGAGGCGAGTACACTTCCCGGGAGTTCTTAGCATATTGTGCTGAACATGGAATCAGGCATGAGAAGTCGGTGCCACGGACCCCACAACACAACGGTGTAGCCGAAAGAATGAATCGAACTATTGTGGAGAAAGTTCGGTGCATGCTCAGTATGGCTACATTACCAAAGCCATTCTGGGGCGAAGCTGTGTTGACAGCTTGCTATCTTATAAACAGGTCACCCTCAGTTCCCTTAAACTTTGAAGTTCCTGAGAAGAAATGGTCAGGAAAAGACATTTCTTACTCTCACTTGAAAGTGTTTGGGTGCAAGGCCTTTGCACATGTGTCCAAAGAGTTGAGGCAAAAACTTGATCTTAAGTCGAACCCATGCATCTTCATCGGCTATGGAGATCAAGAATTTGGATACCGGTTGTGGGATCCCGAAATGAAGAAAGTTATTCGAAGTAGAGATGTGGTGTTTCATGAATCCCAATTTCATGATCTTACTCCAACAAACAACAAACAACATATCTCTCATGCTCCTGAAGACGTTCCTGTAGTATCACACGTTCCTCTTAACAATGAGGAAGTGAGTGATAATACTGAACCAGTGAATGATGGCCCAGTAGTTGTTGATGATGTTCAAGATGGAGGGATTCCTGAGCAGGGAGAGCATTCATCTGAAGGCCACACTGACAACACACAACTTCGACGTTCTACGCGAGGTACTGTTCCACAAAGAAGGTACCCGACATCTGAATGGATCCTTCTTACCAGCGAGGGGGAGCCAGAGAGCTTTCGAGAAGCTCAATCTCATCAAGACAAGTCCAATTGGTGGGAGGCCATGGGAGATGAGATGAAATCCTTGCAGAAGAACCAAACTTATGACTTGGTGCCACTTCCCAAAGGAAAGAAAGCCTTGAAAAACAAATGGGTTTTTAAGGTGAAGAAAGATGTCAAGGGAAATATTGTGAAGCACAAGGCAAGACTCGTGGTCAAAGGATTCCAACAAAAACAGGGAATTGATTTTGATGAGATCTTTTCGTCGGTTGTGAAGATGATGTCGATCCGAGTGGTACTCGGGTTGGTTGCCAGTCTAAATCTTGAACTTGAACATATGGATGTGAAAACAGCATTTCTCCATGGTGATCTGAAAGAGGAAATATACATGGAGCAACCCGAAGGTTTCCAAGTTCCAAAGAAAGAACATCTTGTTTGCAGGTTAAAGAAGAGCCTGTACGGCCTCAAGCAAGCCCCGAGGCAATGGTACAAGAAGTTCGACTCATTCATGGTGAAGCACCAATACAGGAGAACAGTGGCAGACCATTGCGTGTACTTGAAGAAGTTCCCAGATGGAAAATTTATCATCCTTCTGCTCTATGTGGATGATATGCTGATAGTAGGCCAAGATGTGTCCCTCATCAACAACTTGAAGCAAGATTTGTCTAAGTTTTTTGATATGAAAGACTTAGGCCCGGCGCAACAAATTTTGGGCATGAAAATTGTTCGTGATCGGAAGGCAAGGAAGTTGTTCTTATCACAAGAAGAGTATGTTGAACGCGTGATCAAAAGGTTCAACATGGATAATGCCAAACCTGTAGGCACTCCGCTAGCCAATCACTTCAAGTTGAGTAAGGAAAGTTGTCCTTCTTCTGAGAAAGAAAAGGAGATGATGAAAGCAGTACCCTACTCTTCAGCAGTAGGAAGTTTGATGTATGCAATGGTGTGTACAAGACCTGATATTGCTCACGCGGTTGGTGTTGTAAGTAGGTACTTGTCAAATCCAGGAAGAGAACATTGGGAAGTTGTCAAATGGATACTTAGGTATCTGAAGGGTACATCAAAGCTATGCTTGTGCTACGGGGGAGCGAAACCAATCTTGGAAGGTTATACAGATGCTGATATGGCTGGAGATCTTGATAGTAGAAAATCTACTTCAAGTTACATATTCACATTAGCAGGGGGAGCCGTCTCATGGCAGTCCAAGTTGCAGAGGTGTGTAGCATTGTCTACGACAGAAGCTGAATACATTGCCGCTGTTGAAGCCGGAAAGGAGCTCAAGTGGCTGAAACGTTTTCTCCAAGAGTTGGGCTATCCTCAAGAGGAGTACATCATTCATTGTGATAGTCAGAGTGCTATGGATCTTAGCAAGAACTCGATGTATCATTCACGCACAAAACATATCGATGTTCGATATCACTGGCTTAGAGAAGCAATTGAGGAAGATGAACTAAAGCTCTCCAAGATACACACAAACAAAAATGCGGCCGACATGCTAACTAAAGTGGTGCCACACGAGAAGCACAAGCTATGTACAAGCATCATTGGAATGAGAGAATTACGGAAAAAGCTGGAGGGGGAGATTTGTAGGATTGCTGCAGCTCCCATACACACACCCACTCCATGGCATGAAGCTCCATCCTCCATCAATTAAAAGGTATGGGAAGGCATGGGAAGGCATGGGAAGGCATGGGATGCTATATGGGCTGCATGCAATTGTCTCCCAGCATTTCCCTATAAATAGGGTGGTTCTAGCTTGATCAAATGTATCAAAAATCGGAGAGAAAAGTAGTGAGAGTGATACACATAGAGTGAGTGTATAAAAGGGTTGGTTTTTTGTAATAGTTGAGTGAGAGAGTTGCTCCTCCTATTGTAATTCTGTTCTGGTTATGAATAGAAGAATTTTCCAATCCTAACATTGCGGGGGGTCGGTTCTATGACCCTAAAAAGGGTAGGATTTTATTTAGATCCATTCTTTGTTTCACTAGTACTAGTAGTAGTGATGGACCGGGCCGAGAGAAGATATGATTTCTAGACAACTCGTGCATCGGGTGTCTAGTATTAATCAAGTATTTGTACATAATTGAACCAACAATGTCCATTAATAAATTTAAGTATATCATCTCCAATGGTAGAGTTTGGTCTCTAACATACATTTAGGCACGAGTCCAATTTTTTATTTTATTTTCCAACTTTATGCATATGTCGTGCATATCTTCCAATTTACCTTAGATTTCATTTTTTTCATATAACTTTTAACTCACTTTCTTCTACAAGCTCGTTAGACAATATTGCAATCATGGTTCTAAAACTCGGAAAACTCGGCCGCCTAGTCGCCGCATAATCGCTAGACGGCAAGCTGCTGCAGAGATTTTATTGTTTTCGTCCCTAAAATCGCTCTACGGACTAGCCGGACGCGCAGCCCGAGTAATTGCGGAGTAGTCGTCCGCCTAGGGTAACAGATTACTCGGCCCAGACATTAAAAAAAGGTGTGTTGATAGAGTACGGCCATTTCTTCTCTTCGCCTAGTCCACTGATACCTAATAGAATATATACGACTCATCCTTCTCTTCAATGGAACGATGGCCATAGTTGTCGGATTCCCTTCATTGAGCCATCATCTCCACTCTCCAGGTAAAGATATTTTCAATGTATCATGATAGTTTGTGATGATTAAGATAGTTCTTGAGTAGTTCTGTATGTTTTTCTTTTCAAAGGCCTAGCAATTACAATTCTCTTGATCCAAGTGATTTTGATTGTGTAAACAACTCACTTAATTAAATAAGGAAAATCAAGTTAGATGTGCCGGATGCAATGGCTCAATGGCCGCAGGACAAAGTTTGAACTCAATAATTTAGTGAAAAAGGTTGTTAAGCATATAATCCAAATGGATTACTGTTGACATTTTCCTTGCAGGTTATTAAAATATTTGGTAATTTTTCCTGAGGCATGATACTTAATTGAGATCGTTTGTATCTAATTAGTATTTGTCCGGTTAGATTGACTTATGAATATGAGAAATTTATAGTCTAATATCGATAGGAATTTGGAATGTATTTATGGTGTTTGATAAAATTCTTGGGAAAAATGTCAAATAAGCCCCCGTACTATATCGAAAAAGTCGATTAGGCCCTCGTACTTTACAAACACTCAATTAAGTCCTCGAACTATTAAAATACGTTCAATTAAGCCCTTTCGGTTGGTAAGTAACCGGTTTCTCGGTTAAATGTAACCCGTTTCCCGGCAGCCGCCGTTGCTGGGGTTCGAGCACATCGTCGCCGTTTAACCAGGAAACCGGTTACTTACCGACCAAAAGGACTTAATTGAACGTTTTTTAATATTTCGAGGGCTTAATTGAGTGTTTGTAAAGTAAGAGGGCCTAATCGACTTTTCGACATAGTACGGGGGCTTATTTGCATTTCTTCACAGAAGAAATGCAAACTTTTACTAGTAATTTATTTCAATTACTTTGTTTTTCTTAAAAAAATTGAGAATTATAAGTTTGTGTATTTCTCTATCTTCTATTGATGAAAAATTGTGATGACTACCTTCTTGATTGATACTTGATAATAATGTTTTATGCTCATTGTGATGTTTTAATTTTTGTAAACCTAGCAGTCCTAATACTTTCAGTAGTTGTATTGGAGTTTGCTCTTTTTTTTTGCAAAACAAGATTCTTCCTGATATTTTCAGTTCTGTTGTCTTAATGGCTTTATTTGAATTTGAACTTCAGACAAAAAGGAGTTATTAACATTTTGAAAGTTGAATATGACCCTGCTCGGATCGTAAGTGATGATGTACAAAGTTTCTTCTTAGTTTTGTTATTGCTAGATTGCTAATTGTTAAGGAATTAATTGGTCTGACCATTTTTTAACTTATCTGCTCAGGCCTTTTTACCAAAGTGGTACAAAGCATTGCTGGTTTTATTTTAATTGGAACTTTCGTTGCCCTTTTCAAGGCTATTCTGCTATGGAGTAAAAAGAATGCAGTAGAATGAAGGATTACATCTTCATCTCAAGGATCAAAGGAATAGATGCGGCTGACCAATTAAACAAAAAAATGAACAAGGCAGTACACAATCTTTAAAGAAACCTCCTAATGCCTCTTGTGATCATGGTGTATTGTCATTTGAGTGCTCTAGAAGTTGATTTAAAACCTTGTAAGCTCATTGTGATGTTTTAATTTCTTTAATTTTTGTAAACCTAGCAATCCTGACTTATAATTATTATTATTATTATTATTATTATTATTATTATTATTATTATTATTATTATTATTATTATTATTATTATTATTATTATTATTATTATTATTATTATTATTATTATTATTATTATTATTATTATTATTATTATTATTATTATTATTATTATTATTATTATTATTATTATTATTATTATTATTATTATTATTATTATTATTATTATTATTATTATTATTATTATTATTATTATTATTATTATTATTATTATTATTATTATTATTAGTATTATTAGTATTATACTACGTTCTTGGCAATATGCAACATGTTTATTATGTTCAAATGTTTAAACTTTAAACTTTATTTGAATAATGTGGTATTTTTTTTGTCAAAATATTTATATTTTTTGGTATTATGTTGAAACCGAGTTGGCCGCCTAGTCGGCGACTAATCGGCGCCTAGTCGCTCTAGGCGCTAGGCGGTGCTTGGCCGCCCGACTAGCAGCTAGTGAGTTCTAGAACATTGATTGCAATTGGTTGAATCGAATGCATCTACTAAAACTGATGAAATGATGAAGCGGGTTAATTGACTGTTTTTGATGAATTATGAAAATATTATATTTAGCACATATTTTATTAACAAAATAATAAAATACAATTAAAATAGTCATCTTGCATTGGGTAACTTTGTCCAATTCAGCCACAATAATAACTCCAAATATTACTTATTTTGATGACCAATATTTCACATGTTGGGAAAGTAGGTAACACTCCAAAAATCTAGTCTCGCTGATTGTTACAAAATTATTATAATCCCACGTTCACCAAATTATAATATAACAATAATAACATATTGTTGATGTTTATTCCTTCAACCTTCAGGCCCAACACGTAAGCCCAAAGATTTCGAGTGGAGTGCGTATGAGTAACTAGCCCAACAGACAGATGATAAGGATCAAGAAACAAATAAGTAGCAAGTAAGTGATTAGGTATTATTATCTCTTAATAACTCCCTAATACAATACTTTTTGCTAAGGCTCCGTCGGCCGTTCGTCTTACAAGGCAGTAGAAGTGCTGCGAATAGAATGCTATAGCTAGGGTGCTAAGAATAGAAAGTTGCCAACCCTTTACAATGAAATAAATGCTTCTATTTATACCCGCCAATGGGCAGGTGGCTATGCTGACGTGGAGGACTGCGGATCGCATGTGTCCCAACCACCAAATCTTCTGCATTAAATGCACTTCCCGCCAGAATCCAGGCTTCCCGCCTAAATAATGGGGACGTTCGTCCGCCAGGGGTGAGCTGGGTCATTCCAAGTGATCCTCAAGAGACTTCGGCTGTTCGTCCCCTGACCTTTGGATTCTCTCCCTGTGGACTGGATCTCCTCCGATGATCATGGACCTGCCCAGGAGACGTTCGTCGTTATCCCTGATGGCTAGTGGTCCTGCCCCTTGCCCCTGCATGGACGTTCGTCGTGATAGGCAGTTTGGACCTGGGCCCCCCCCCCATTCCAGACGTTCGTCGCTTTCCAAGGATCCTGGGCCTGCACCCAGCCTGGTCCTAGCTTGACGGGCGCCTGACAGAAACAAGGAGGTTAATGGGCCGGACCTCGGCCTGGGCCATTATCCCAACACAAGTCCCCCACTTCTGATGTTCTGAGCATGCGCAGGACATAAGGAAGTATAGGTGCCCCGAAGTTGACGTTCGTCTCACTGCATCCGGCGGAAGCGTACGCTCGTGGTCACGGTGCTTAACAGCTGTCGACGGTTCAGGAAACGAGGTGACGGCTGCTATAGCGGCGGTGCACTTTCCGAGGAAATGCCATCATTGCGTTTTCGTCCCACGCACGGCGCGTGAGCCGGAATACGCTCTTTGCCACGTGTCCGTCCCTCGTTGGTCCCCCCGCCGGTGTTTCTCCTATAAATGCCGGGTTCCCCCCCTAAATTAGGGTTCCCAATTTTCGCTCTCCTGCTCTCGCGTTCCCGCAGTTCTTCAAGTCTTTTCTGGTTTTCAAGCTCGGCTAACTCCTTGCTAAGGTAATTTCCACCCCCTGCTTCTTTTCTTTGTCTTGAATTCTTGCCGAGATGGTTTCGATGGAGATCTCGTCGAGTTCTGGTTCGGGTTCATCGGGTTCTTCTTCGGGCTCCTCCTCTGACTCTGGTTCACGCTCTTCGGGTGAGACTAGCACTTCCGGGAGTTCCGGCTCAGCCTCTACCGTGGGAACGGTCCAGGCCGGGGATGCCCAAGACGTGGTTGCTGTGGTGGTTCCTGGCGAAGAAGGTGCTGACCTGGGGGAGCAAGGGAATATGGCCCTCGATGTGGTGGACCATGTAACTGATGCCGGGGAACAGGAGTCCGCCGGTGAGGACGAGCGTCCAGATGGGTATGATTCTGGGGTTGAAGCCCAGGACGGCTCTGACATTGAGATATTCGATCTTGGGCTGAAGATAGACGTGGAGAGGCATCTGTGCCCGATCAAGAACGTCCTGTGTCATGAACAGATCTTCTCGCAGGTGGCCCTCAACAAATTAAAGGTGTTCTTCCCCCCTCCGTCCGTATACAGCCTGCGCGGTGCGACCCACGTGATGAGGAGACGCCCAGGGATGGTTATGGTGCTTCTGGACTCCATCGAGGCTGGGCTGCGCTTCCCTCTTCATCCGTTCTTCGTGGAATTCTTCTGTTGTTATCAGATAGCCCCCGCACAGCTCATGCCGAACTCCTATCGGTTCGTCTCCGCCTTCCTAGTCCGCTGCAGGGACAGTGGGGTCACCGCCACCTTGGACTTGTTCCATTACTTCTACCGGCTCACTCCCCAAAATTCTGACGGTTTCTTGAGCATTGCAGCTCGTCCAAAACGGAGGCTGTTCAGCGGAGCACCGAGTTCCATCCATGACTGGAAGAACCGGTTCTTCTTCGTGCGGTACGCGGATGCTCGTCTACCATTGCGTTGGAACGGCTATCCGCCCAAGATAGGATCCCCGGAGCTAACCAATGACCTGGAGGAGGACATCAGAAAGATCTCGACGGGCGGCATCCGGCCCTTAGATGATTTCTTAACCTTCGAGGCGCTCGCCGCGGCAGGAATAGGTACCGCCCATGCTCTTGGACATCTCCCCTTCTTCGCTCGTCTCGGGGTATTGGGCGGTCCTCTCCTCCGAGGTGAGTTCTTCCAGTTGTTCGTCCATCTAATCCTTTTCCCTTGTTTCTTTCAGGTCTTCCCCCAACTCAGGAGCAAATGAATCACGAGAAGCTCCTCAAGAATCGGAAGGGGAAGGGGGCCGCGGCCGAAGCTGCCCTTGCTAAGGCCAAGGCCGCCCAAGCAGCAGACTCTAACTCCTCCGCCTCCCAGGCCGATCGTCGCACGGTGGAGGCGGAACAGCATCTCATTGCCACGGTGATGGCACAGGGGTCCCAGGCCCCCGTCCTCAATCCGGTCGTCCCTGAGGTTGTGGCGCCCCTGCAGGCCGTTCATCCGCATGACGGGGAGAAGGCGCAGGACAAGAAACCCAAGAGGCCTCGGGGAGCTTCCTCCTCGGCCCCCGAAGAGCAGGGGCTGATCCTTCCTTCCCTTGGGCGCCCGGCCCATGACGTCTGGCAGGAAATTGCCTCTCTGGTTGGCGTGGACATGCCCCCCCGGACGTCTTCAGAGGCCTCCAACGCGGTTCTGGCCGCCGCTCTTCAGGTGAGATTCGCCCTTGGATGAACGGTAGCTTCCTATATTCCGTTGATTTGAAGTCTCATCCTCTGTGTTTCTTTTGTAGGTTGGGCTCTCTACCCTGCAGGCCGAGGCTGCCCGGGATGCTGATGCCCTTCAGGCCAAAAATAGGGCAGATGCGGCCTTGAAGAAGGCGAGGGAGGCCGCTCGTCTCCAAGAGAAAGAGCTGGCGGCCAAGGAAAAAGAGCTGCAGGCCGCCCTAAGGGTAGCCCGCGAGTCCACCGCGAAGCTCGCGGTTCTGGAGAAGGCCGGGTTCAAGCTCGTCCCAGCTCTCCCTGCCCCCAAGGACGAAACCCCTGAATGGCTCGTCGACGATTCTGGGTACCACAACTCCGGGGCCTTCATGATTGCCGCCCAGAGGTACCTTGGGGGCGCCTTTGGTGATGTCTTCGCTGCCGAGCTGCAAAAGCAGGCGCCCAAGGACCGCCTCAAATTCGGGGTCCGAATCCTGGAGAGTGCGCCCCTGGCCGAGAAGTTCTTGTATGACGTTGGGGATAGCTCCTTCGTCATTGGCTACAACGAGGGGGTAAAGGCCACGCTGCCGGTCTTCGCCGCTCTTCAGGGGCCCAATTTTGATCTGGCCGAGCATGCCTCAGATCCGGAGCTGATCCGAGTGGTGGGCAAGTTGAAAAGAGACGCCCGGCGGGAGGAGGCCAGAGCCAGAGGGGAGGTCCCGGAGCCCCCGTCCCCCGAGCCCGAGCCCGAGGAGGAAGAAGAAAACATCCCTGGGGGGTCCCGGCCTTTGTCTCCAAATTTTGTGTAATGTAGTTCGTAGTCCCTTTGTTTTGATCCTGTACTTATCCGGCCAGTAGAGCCGAAGAATATACAACTCTTTTTGCCTCATCATTATTTCTACATTCATGAATTCCTTTTACTTCCTTCGTTGTTGGCTTTTCGTTTTCCTTGGGGACGTTCATTCCCGCAACTCGCCAATGCATCCCAATCTTTCGGGATACGAACGTGTGCCTGAGATCACCACCTATGTGGACCATCCCCGACGCCGTTCGTCGGGAGGAAGATGTGCGGGGATGCAACCGTATTCTTTCGGGGTACGAACGTATACTTGGGCGCACCATCTATGTAACCGCTCCTCCATACATGCGGATTACGGCCGTAAATTCCCGGATTAGAGTTGGCGAAGATGCTCCTCCTGTGGCCACTGGCGTAATCATCCGAGTAGTGTGCGCCTAACTCAAATTTGATGGGGTGACGTTCGTCTGTTGACCAGGTGTGTAGATATGAATGCGCCTCTCCGAATTATGCCTCGACGGAGGAGCTCGTCGCTTCCGGGATAGCGTGACCTTTTA